GGTGAAACCAACACCTTCCTGCACATTCTCAGCAAGAGACAGAAAACCAAATAATTAAAAAACAGGACAATAAAATAGGATTATCTTCTGGTTAGTTTCAAGACTTACTTCCTGATCAAAGAATCTACTGCCAGCATCACGCACGCCTGGACTTCCTTTATCCTGTCTTGATTCTTTAACCAGGACTCCTTCAACAGCACCTTTAGAGATACACTACAGTTGGATTTCACAGTAATGAAACCCTCCGCCAGTACTGAAAGTTTCATCAGCTTAGATAAATGCCAAATATTTAAAGCTACTGGTCTAATCAGAAAAGTTCTCATAATACACCAACCTCACGTCAGTCCATGTTCTAGACATTTTTGAACAAGTCAACAGGTCACAAACACAACGATAGCTAATGAGCAGATCAATGCTGTTACACAAGAGACAGTGACTCTTTCACCGCACAAATGAATTCTGGAGTTGAACCATGGTAGCCCATGAAAAATTGGATAGTGGAAAACACTATCCAATATGGGAGAGGGTTACTTTCTAATGATTAAGATGAATCATGCGTAAGCTTTTAAACCCTGCCAAAACAAGTAATACAAGTTATTGTAGAGATGCTTATGGCCACCTGAAGCAGAAAAGACACTCAACTGAGCCAACTATTCCATAGTTCGTTTTAAAGCTCATCTATTCTGTACTAGATTAGCTCCATTTGAGAGGGCACAAAATCCAACCTCACAAACTCTATGGAGATGGTAAAAGCACCCTATGAAAGAAAGGATGGACAAACCCATATACTGTATGAAGTTCCTTGTATATTATGGCAGAACTGCATTTAAGTACACCTTGCATAAATGCTGACAGCAATCTTTTTCCCTTATCTGAAATGTTACAATAAAGCTGATGCAATGGCATGTGCCTGTCCCTTAAAACACTTTCCACTTCCACCCACTAACGCAGGCACTGCTTTCTGATTATATGAATTTTTGTCAAATTTACCTTTTTATGGAAAAAGTGTTTCCATTAAGTTTTACTTCCAACAACTTGAAAATAAACAAAAAACCACCATGGTCTGAATGCCAATTTCTCCTCTCTTTTTTCTAGTAATAGCCAACAATCTAAAAAGAGTTGCACTATTTTTTTTCATTTGTAGCAGTGTTCTGGGTAAAACAATCCTCTGCGATGGAGGGGCCTCCCCCACGCAAAGTCTTGCCAAATACATACTTATAGTTCAGCTGCTGTCTCCCAGAAAAACTGTTCCAGTATAGCACATGTCCCTTCTCTTTATATATCAGCAATGATGAAATAAGCATTTCTTAAAGTGTAAAGAATCATAGCAATGAATATGCATTTTTATTAATAATCTCAGCTCAAACTAATGTTGCACTCTGCTTTTCAAAAGGTCTGGAGTCCAGCTGTACTAACACCCATCATTGGTGAGGTGTATCTATCAGATTAAATCCGTTACTGAAACAAGGAAATGTTGTATATGTATGTCTTGCTGAGGTGCAATCGTGCTGTTAGAGCTGTCCAAGAAATCTGGGATCTAATCATATTTTCATCATTAAATGCAGGGGACTTTTGATTTCTTCTGTAAGGTAACATGATCATTTCCCTAAATTAGCTGTACTGCAGAGCTAGAATTCCAACCCATCAGTAAGGGTATTTCTACTGAAGTTTTAATAAAACCCGGTATCACTCACACTAATCATCTCTTTATGCTGTCACAGGTTTTTCCCAGTAACTTACTGAGCTCTAAAGAGCTTCTATTAACAGCACAGAGACATACCACCTTTCCAAAAATAGAATTCAAGCCCAATTATTACTCAGATTTTAATTTTTTTTACTAGCAGCACTTCAGACAGCAATAAAATGAAATGCAGATACATGTTTTTCCCTGTTCACTTTGTAAAAATGGCAGTCATGCAGAAGATTTTCAAAATTAAAGAAACCGGATTATAAAACCACAAAATTGACCCAGGGCCTTTGGGCATACAGAGTGCTTACAGTTATAATTAATTTTTTAGTGTGACAAGATTTTAAAACTGACTCTGGAATTCTGGAAGCTGTTTCAAGTTTCCTCTATTCCAATATAGCAATTCTAATCACAAATGAAACAACTTGGCATTCAGTTCAAAATTAAAACTGTTAATAAATAGTGTATCTAAATTCTTGCTAAGCTGTTGTATAACAGGAGTGTTCACAGTCCTGATCCAAGCAGGACAGGGCAGGCTGCTCTACCATCACACCACCTAACAAGGCAGAGGCTGCAATCAGGGCTCCCACGTCTCTGTCAATGACAAAAATGCGGCCTCAGAACAAGTCCCCACTTACTAGACCACGCTGAGCTTGGACCATTCACCACAGTCTTTTTCTCCAGTTCTTCTTGACACCAGCAATGCTCTCACAAGTGAGTAGTCACATTAATGAAACCCAGAATTGCCAGTAAGAAGTTGCATGGTGTGATACTCATTTCTGTGGATCAGTACTGGTATATACTTAAGCAGGGTCTGCAGAGGAAGACGCAAGACATGTTCCTCCTGGGCAAGCCAATTCCAGAAGTGTTTCAGTGTTATCCTTAATTACTAGGATAGGGACAGGAAGAAGGGTGTCATTTCAAAATTAGCAGAATTAAAAGCAAATAAAGAAACACTGGGACAGAGGGAATATGTGCACAAAGATGTAGTTTACAACTCTGATGTTAAACAGTATTTTAAACATACAATGTAAGTGTAGTTTGATTATCAAATTGGGTTTTAAAACAGGAAACATCCTTACAGCATCAAACGTTTTCCTCACACATACAAGACCATGTGTACCTGCTTTCAGGATTTCACAAACAGACCTGAACTCATACTTAGTCAAAACAGTTGCCAAGTATAAGCTGTAAAGGCAGAAGCAAAACATGAGAACAGTGTCAAGAGAAAAGAATTTAATGTTAAAACTAAACTGAGGCTGGAGTTCTGGGCAATAAGGGAAAGTAATTATACATGTGGTAAATGCAAGAAAAATTAAATTACTGCAGGGCAGATGTGACATCTGTGCTAGCAGCGGTGCTACAGATCATTAGTTATAGGCATTTCACACCAAGTGCTATAGAAGATAATTTAAGCAATGATGACACTAGCTCTTTTCCATCTCTTGCCCTAGTAACATTCTTTTTTCCATTACAGGGGCTACTTCTTCCAAGACTGACCTCTTAAACATTTTATGTGTTAATGTTTGAGCAACCAAACTGTACTTACACAAGCTTTTTTAAATAAAAACCCACAGTTTTAATATTAAAGTACATTTATATTTTATGGTATCTCAAAACAGCAGCTACGTGCAAAGTTGTAACAAGTGAATTAAAATTTAACTCCCTGATAAATTTTAATATTGTGTCCTTTTAAAATATAAATAATTTAGCATTTTCGCTAGCTAAAACCTAAATATTTTTTCCATTTATGCTGTAATTAAAAGACCTATTAATTTGTCTCTAGCACCGTACACCTTTGATTTAAGAATCACTCCTCTTCCAAATTAGAAAGGCTTGCCCAAAAAGTAATTCAGAAAACTATTTCTGGCAGTGTATGGGAGGCTACCTGGCATTCATTTTGAAATTGCAGATGCTAAGTTATTTAAAGAAATAAGTATACATACATGTATGTATGAGTTAACCTGTAGTCTCTAAAGTTGACCTGAGGACACAGCTGGGAGACGAATCTCATGAGGCACATGCTCTGTCATTATTCCTGTATGGCCTAAGATGTAAGACAAAAAACCAAACGACTATAATTCCCCCACCCCCCCACGGTAATTTTTTACGTGGGCATTGCTGCCACCATATGGCCAAACAGCTGAACTACACCTACCCTTCCTCTGCACCTTGCAGATGCTAACCTGCTTCAGCACACTACACCTTCTACAAGCCCTCTCATTCCAACTTTCTACTCCACCCTCTCACAAAGCCCCATCATTGCCACTGATTTCCGAAATTACTTCCACCTAAAAGAAGATTAAAAGGAACTTAAAGCATTCAGATCTTGCTGACAGTCTCTTCCAAGTATAGGCCACCAGCTGTAGGAACAATTCAGTGTTGTAGAATTATGCCAAACCAATCCTCAAAGACAACAGAAAATCTTACAAGTGCCTGCTTTTAGAAAGCTGGACTCAGCACACTACGCTGTCGCCTGCAGTGGCTCAGCAATCTCTGAGCAGGTTCCTCATACTGAAGAGACATGGTGAGTTAAGTCACCACAGAAAGGGAGTTGCATAATTTCTCACACATAACAAGCAGGAGTCTACATTCATTCCTGTTTATTAGCTCTTCTGAACAGTAGCTTGCTTCATACTTAAGTTTTAAAATACTTACCTGTAAAGCCTGTTAAGAATTACTTTTTTTTTTTAGTTCTGCTGCACGTGACTGGTAAGCTCATTTACAGAAGTGCCAAAGGCACCACAGAAATACCAGCATATGCCACAGCTGTGGGTTTAACTTCATCACCTGTGCGATAAGGCTCCACTGGTCTGAATAACTCAGCAGCATTCTTGCAGTTTGGACCTGACTTCCATACATTTGCGCGTCACATTTGAAATAATCCAAAGAACCAGGTAGTCCTCAATAAATATCATTTATAGTACCTTCACCCTTTCTCTAGGTGATCAATGAAGATATGAATTCTGCAGTTTATGAACCTATATGCTTGCAGATCACTTTTTATTTGCACAACCATTTCACCTGTAGCTTTCTAAAAGGGAGTGGGAAAAAATTGTATCACGTATGATGACGAATACCATATATCGTTTCGGCAAGGCCAGAAAGGAAGTCAAAATGCCCCAGGGCTTCCTGGAGAAAGCAAGGCTGCAGAAACCATTCATTCAACAGTCACTATCTTTGAAGGACTGCATAAGAGAATGGCTCAGTCAGTTAACTAAAATGTAAGGCAACTGAACAGTCCCTGCTTTTTCTTGCATACCAGTCAAGAAAAAAGATACAGAAAAGGAAAAGAAAAGGTCAATACACTCACCTTTTTTGCTCTTTGTGCTATATTAGGCGTTCTAGTGAGAAGTTTTTCAATCAGGTATTCTCTATTCTGCAAAACCAACATTCGGTAAGTTAAAGATCAATACAAGGAAAGAAGAAATTTCATGTAGATTTTAAGGCAGAGCAAAATTTACTCATAGGGTTAAACGTTTTACCTTGGCTTTCTGGAAAAATTTGCATTTTAAAAGTTCTGCTGCTGTGGGCCTGAAAGATCAATAATAAATTAGAACAGAAAACAAAGACCCCTCCCAGTGAATACAGTACAAGACGTTAGTTAAATGGTACGTCTCTAATACTTTTGAATTAGTACTGTATGAATGGGGAATGAATGATAATAGCTACTGAATTAATTCACACGTACTCACTTACCACACATGAAAAAATTAAGCCTCCCTACGGCAAAAATACAAAAAAAAAAAAGGAAAAAAAAAAATCAGTCTCTAAGTTGCCAATTTTCCCCCTTTTTCTTTCAACACAAATGCATTTTACCCTTAAAAGAAACAAACAAACAAAAAAAGTCAGGTATCATGTTCTTCCCCAAGTGACTCTATGAATGCAACTGAACTTTGCTCCACAGCAATAAAAGAATAATTACATTTTCCAAACAGTAGTATCAATACCTGCTACCAGCATTCTTTTACTTCATTGATGTCAGCAGGTATTCACAAGAAACTATACTGATACTATTAAAATGATGCATAAACCAAGAAGAGTGTCATCAGCAGCATCTTCCAATCAAACAGACAAATAAAAAAAAAAAAGCAACAGTTATAAGGTCAAAACTTAGACATTTCACTTTTACTCGCAGTTCTGTTCAAGCATCTTTCTTCCCATCAAGTTTATATTTTTGATGTTTTCAAGAGATAATCACAATCTCACAGCTACTGAAGTGATTCCAACAGCAGGATTTGTCTCCCCTAGCTTCAGGGATCTAAAAAGCTACTGCTCTATCCAAAGCCAGACTCTGGTACTGAAGCAGACTCTGGAGAGAAAGTGGAGCATCTCTTGGGATGAAATAAAATCCTCCAGGTTCTTTTCATCCTTTCCATTAGGAGCCCACACCACTATCCAAGACTAATTTTGACACGGCTAAATTTAGGGAAGCCAAAATCTCCAAGACACATCATTTCTAAATGAACAGAAGCAGCATCTCCTATAGTTTTCCATTTGAATTAAAGCAAGAGACTGGATATAGCACAAACTAGGTAAAACAGTGGAAAGCTTCAATTTGGAAAATTTCAGTCTCAAAAAAACCCTCAAAATCTGAACTAGTTTATTTCTCTGAGGACACATCTGAGGAGTAAGTGAAGAAAAGAGGAGTAGTAAGTAGTGTGTATGTATATATTGGTTCACTCCCGCTAGAAATAATGAAACAACTCCTGCCATGAACAAAGAGTATCCAACTTAGACACAGACAGTAGTTCCATAGAGCACTTATTTTTCTTCCCCTCCAAAGCACCAAACTCCACAATAAAGGAGATTTTAGTAGTGGTACTGTGGAGACCACCAGGCTTAGCAGGAACTCACACATAAACCTTGGATGAGCAAAAAGGAAGGGGAACTTTAAAAAAAAAAAGTTTCTGTGTCAAAGTTTTAAAGTTTATCTCAAATTAACTCTTAACTTCAAGACAAGTTTCAGTGATCCAGTACCATCACATCTCATAACAGGGATATGCACAGTTAAAAGCTAGAATCTTAGTAAAGTTTTATCCGAACTAGTGTTCTCCATTCCTCTACCATTAATTATGCCAGACACTTCTGAACTGGTCTGGACATGCTTTCTGGGCCTGTTTTCCACACAAGCCACGGCAGTGAATTGCAGCTGAGGACTGTAAACAGCATCCTTGGCACTGGGGGGAGAGAGAGAGAAACACCCACACGCTGATCCCCAAAAGAAAAACCATCATGGTCTGAGACAACAACAGTGCAATGCCAGTCCTGGAATTTGCCATGAAGAACAGGCACTTCTCCCACAATTGACATGACAGCTATGGAGGTATCTCCGTGCAAAACTAAAGCCTGGCTTGGGAGAAACATAAAAAATAGCAATGACCCCACAATATAAGGACATTCGCTCCTCAGTTAAGAGTAACTGCCACACAGATCTAATCACCTATCTGCTGGTTTAATTGTTCAATACAAGGCAATTCTGAGTCTGAAGATACTGCATGTGTTTAAATATCAGTGTAATAAATTAGTGTAATCAGTTTAAACACTAATGTTTCGACACTGATGTCATAACTACAGATCAGGTAATTCAGCACTATGTATTCAAGGAGAAAAGGAAAACCGTTTTAATTATTTACTTCTCATGTTTTCATACCAATTTAATCTTGCCTTGAAAACTGCTGGACACTGGAAATGAAAAGAAGCTTGATTATCCAGAACACATTTCATTCTTATCTGTAAGCAGCCAAACTACAGAGCTAAGCTTAAAGCATCAGGACTTGCTACTAAGACTACCAATTTTAACGGGTTTGGGAATCTGAAAACAGTGCACAAATGATCCTTCAGTGAAAAAAAGAATTTGAAGGATTTCAAGAATAAAGATATTGCCACTTAATCTTTTTTCTTAATTATACTTTTCTCTAGTATTGCTGCTGTCACCTTTTTGACTTGACTCCCTATAGCAATATCCTGGACTTAAGCTAGCGTAACATCAGTGAAGAGAAGTACACACCATAAAAGACCCACCCAGTACTCAATCAGGATTGCGCTCTCAGAACAATCTTTTTTCCCCAGAAATACCAGCTCTGAAACTCTTCAAAAAGTGATATATTAAATACCCCTAGGAAATAATTTTAATTAGAATGTGCCTCCTCCAACTCTTCAGCAAAAGAAACCTACAAAAATGGGTCTGCATAAAAATGAATAAAGGATAAATAAATTAATCGTTCTGGGAACTTGAGATCTCAGCAATGGTTTTAGAATAGATGATTAATATTTTCATCATCCTGCCTATCCCATTCACAAAACATAGCAAGAAAGAACAAATCACAAAGATATTATGACATGCAATTGCCTACATAAACATGAGGAAAACTCTAAACAAGCTTGGAGCCCCTAACTTTACAGTAAAAAATAAATACCTCTTAATAAGTCATTTTCTCTGGAAATACCCAAGTTAAAGGCAATACTAAGCTTATGTCACAAAATGAGAAAAATCAACATAAAATTATTTATTTATTTTTAATTTATTTTAAAGGCCAAGAGACTGATATGTTTGCTTATAAGCAGTCTTGTCTAATCAATCTGAACAGACTTGTTAGACTTATGTACAATATCAAGATTTATATGCTGCCTCAGATGAGAAATTAAGATGTAGAGCAAGGACTTTTGTGTGATCAGATTTTAATTCAACAGTATTTATATTTATTTAAATATAAATAAATTAGGTTAACAACCCAGAAGAAGAAAACTTAAGCGACCATTAAAAGGCAATTTCTTCTCCCCAGATGGAAGATGACTGAAGGCTGCTACTTACAAAATTCAAATCATATACTTAATGATGATGTTTAAACACTGGAACTTTAAGTAGTCTGTATATTTAAAAAAAATTCCACTGTACATGGCAATAATGACCTACCTTTTGGAAGGATCTTTTTGAAGGCATAATGAAATTAGTTTTCTAAAGGATTTGCCATACTTTTTCATCATCTCCTTGTCCTCTACACCTGTCTCTAACGTGGGAGGGTCATTTTGAAGTGTCAGCATTAATACCTACAGTAAACCCAAAAAAGAGATCCTGTAATCAAAATGTAGAAATTAAGAGAATAAATATTCCACAGAATACATATATTTAGATATCTTGAGTTGCTATTGACAATGAAGTAGTGCTAACTATCTAGCAGCATTAATAATACAGCTAACAGCATTAAGTAATACAAAGTGTTAAGTAATACAAAGTGATTGTTACTTTCATAGGAGGGTATTTGTGATAAGGTGCTGCTCCTGTTGCTAACTCAATGGCCGTTATCCCAAAACTCCACATATCAGCCTTGAAGTCATAACCTCGCACCTGGAATAGAACCAGAAAGGAAAAACAAGGTGATGTCATCTCAGGTTCCAAAACATTACAGACTGAAAGTATTTTTTTTTTAACATTAGGAATACCTGCTCCATTACTTCAGGGGCCATCCAACATGGAGTACCAACAAATGTTTTCCTTACTTTGTTACGAGTAACATCACCTCCCGTTGCTAAAAATGCACTAACGCCAAAATCTGGGAAGGGGGAAAAAAGTAGAAATCTATTAAACTACCAACAACAAAGCAAAAGTTTTACACTTTAGAAATTAAGTCAATTCATAAAGGTCTATTTATAGAAACTCTCCATGGCAGAGCTTACCTTTGTTTCATGGCACACTGTTCTCGAAATGCTACGGAACAGACGGTATAGTTTTATCTGGAAGATCTGCACTAGAACACCCTCACGTTTCCTAGCATGCGTCTTCCTGAATATGGTTACAAAGGACCCCAGTACGTCTGCCACTTAAGGTTTTCAAATGTGCACTCTGAACCAAGGTTTGAAAGGTTTGCATCTGCTATTGTTCAAAGATAAGGCATTACTTCTGTATAGCTACTAAATTTGAATGCAATTTGAACAAGAGGGATTACTATCTGTAACTTAAACACTTACGGAGATTTGACAAATCAAAGATAATCAGTGAAGTGATCAACAATATATATTTAATAGTAGACCATGACATGAATAGTTTTTTTTCCAAATTCCAAAACAGCAAAAAACCTTAGTGTTCTGTTAACCTGTCACTACGCCAGTGACAGCTGTAAGGGAGAGGTAGAGGATAAATGGAAGAAAGAGGAGCAGATTACCAATGTATGGAGAAATACTGTCATTTTGAATGGAGCTACATGAAGAGTATTTTAGACTGTGCTATTTACAATCCGGTTATACTGAAATCAAGTACTTTACTATAGACCTACTTCAATTTTTATTTTCCTATTGTTTTCCTATTGTTCCCTGACTTTAAGGTTGGGGGAGGTGGGGGGAAATAAATCAGTAACTACAGAAAATGTAGTTTTATCATTACTTTCCACTAAACAACCATTAAGCATCACAGACTCAAATTCTGGACCTCTTCCACATCGCTAAAACACACAGAAATACAGTAGACAAGTAAGAAGCAAGCCTCAAACAATATCCTTTAATTTTCCCTGCAGTTTGCGTGATGAATAAAAAAAACTTTTTTTTTTCCTCCAAAATCTCTAAGTTATAGATTAGACAAGTTTTGTTTGTATTTCTGAAAAGCATGAACAGCCTCAGAAACACCTGCTTCTAATTTTTTAATGCCCTAAAAATCAATGCTGGTATTAGTGACAGTTTCTGAAGAGGAACTACTGCATATAAGGAAAAGCTGAATAGGCAGAAATCAAAAATAAATAAATGAATACATAAATAAAGGAGAGATACAGAAAAAAAATTTATGTCCTTTTAGTACCAAAGATAAATAGTTCGTATTGGACAATTGTTTACAGGTCCTTTCAGGAACTGAGATACATAGCTAAAATCCTGACTTGGGATTTTGAAGAGCCCTGATTTAAGTGTATTAGTAAAGCATTTTGAAATTAAAGGAATCGGAGCTGCCCAAATAAGCATAGCCTACAAATCATTTATTCCCTAACATCTTTTTCACCTCAGCCAGGGCTGGGCACTTGGCCAAGCCTCAGCCAAGGCCAACATCCAGAGTTAGTGTTAGGCATAGGGTTGGGAGAGAGACAAAGCCTATGGCCTCCAAGGGAGCTGGGCTGCAAGGAGCCCACTAAAGGAAGGCACAGGCTGCAAAAACATTTCGTACCTGACAGCTTTTTCCACCTCAGCCAGGGCTGGGGCTCTTGGCCAAGCCTCAGCCAAAACCAAGCTCTAGGGTCAGGATTCAGGCTTGTGAAACAGACAAAGCCACTGCTTCCATGGCAGCAGAGCTGCAAAGCAGCTGCTGCAGGAAGGCACGGGCTGCAAAAACACTTCTCCCGTAACTTTCTCACCTTGACAGTGGCTGTAGACTTTAGCCTAAGGCTCAGCCAAGGCCACGTGCAGGGTTACAGTTAAGACTGGGAGAGAAATAAAGCACCAAACTCCTGTGAGAATGGGGCTGGCCAAGGAAAGCTTGAGCTGCCAAGCAACTGTCCCTGACAAATCTTTCTGCTCCATCTGGCTTGAGTATCCGAGGCATAGGCTCTGCCTATTTTTAACCAGATCTTTTCCAAACATTTCTGTGGGTATGGATTACCACAGGAGTGAACACCCTGAGAACCACTGCTGCAATGGGTAAGTTCACACAGCCACCTATGCACAAAACCGAAGAGCAGGATCTTCTGCCTAGACTCCTCAAAACACACATTCTTTTTCCGACAAGTTTTATTGTAACTATCATTTCTTGGATGGACTAAATGCATCACACAGCCCATACCTTCTACACTTCCACCAGTCTCTGGGTACAATTGCTCTTTGTTATATGTTCCTTACCTTATCGCACATATCTGTTCCTTTACTGGTTTATTTGATATTTTGACCTTCGCCAGGCAATTCAGGCTCAGAAGGCTGAAACCCTGATGAAGTACCAATCATCCTGTTTGCCCAAAGCACCATATGTTACAATCTGTCCTGGTTTCGGCTGGGATAGAGTTAATTTTCTTCCTAGTAGCTGGTACAGTGCTGTGTTTTGGATTTAGCATGAGAATATAATGTTGATAACACACCGATGTTTTAGTTGTTGCTAAGTAGTGCTTCCACTAGCCAAGGACTTTTCAGCTTCCCATGCTCTACTGACTGAGAAGGCTGGGGGTGCACAAGAAGCTGGGAGGGGGCACAGCCAGGACAGCTGACCCAAACTGGCCAAAGGGACATTCCATACCATATGACGTCATGCTCAGTATATAAACTGGGGGAAAGCTGGTCGGGGGGGGCTGCTGCTCAGGGACTGGCTGGGCATTGGTTGGCGGGTGGTAAGCAATTGCATTGTGCATCACTTGCTTTGTATATTCTTTTATTATTGTTGTTATTATTATTACTATTTTATTTTATTTCAATTATTAAACTGTTTTTATCTCAACCCATTAGTTTTCTCACTTTTACTCTTCTGATTCTCTGCCCCATCCCACGGGGGTGGGAAGGGGGGGAAGTGAGCGAGTGGCTTGTGTGGTGCTCAGTTGCCAGTTGAGGTTAAAATACGACACAATCCCAATAGTTTTAAGTAGAATGTTGGAGCTGAGGAACTGCAGTGACTATTTAATATTGTATTTGTGAGTAAGTTGAAAGTTTCCAGCTCTGTACAGAGGAATTTTGTACTTTAAAAATAAGTCTCCCCAATTTAAACAAAACGATGTATATTTTCCTCTTTCCCACCAAAGGCCGAGCAGATTCTCTGTGCAGAGCCTCAGAGGTCCATAATGAGAAGTGTCTGTAGAGCTATCCCAATTCTTGGAAGAACCCATGCTCTTCTATATCTGCATAAAATCTTTCATCAGAGAAACACTGGGTTGCGTTTCATTTGTGAGCCATTGCCCCTTACAACCCAGAAATGCTAATGGACAACCGCATCTTCAAATGTTACTCCTCAAACATATTAGCAGTGCGCGCTATGGATACATCTTTTCTTTATAGAAGCTTGGGGTGCAGGAGAACGAGCAGTCAAAAGAACCTAAGTTCTTCTAGCAAATAAAAAGAAGCAAAATAATCAGGTAGCTGTTCTCCAAAGATGAAAGGAGATTTTACTTTTTCAAGGCAAAAAGATGTAAAAAGCATGAATTTCAGCCTCTTTGGTATTCAAAATTGGCTTTCAGTTAATGTGCAATGTTCAGCTGTCCCAAACAGAACAGCCCCACACCAACAAAGAAACAAGTTTGACACTGCTGCACTTTTCACCTGGAGATCAGAAATAACCTGGTATTGAAATAATGCATCACACAGACACATTCCACATATCTATCCAGCCACTGAATTTCCTCAGTCCTGCATGCACTGAATGCCCTAGCGGCACAATTAAAGCTTTACTCATTAAGATGCCTACAGCAAAAAGGAGGAAAAGGTCAAGAAACCAAGCCCTGGAGCTGAACTAGAAAGGGATAAATGAAGCTGTTGTTTGAATGTTATCTGATTACTGGGAAAGTAGATTTGATTATGTGTGAAAGTAATAATCTAAAGTCAACAGCTTTATTTCAGATGGCTCATGAGATTTTTATCTTTCAACTTTTTAGTTATTATTATTCTTTTTAATTGAATTGGTTGTTTGGACATCTACTCCTTTACAATATGAGAAGATCTAAAAAAATACTTGAACAACACAGATCTAGAAACTCAGCAGTTGCCCAAAGTGCTATACAAACTGAAAACAACTGTAGGGTATAATCAAGTGAATCAATAAATATTAAGTATCTTATTAAAATTCAAGTCTGTAAAATTGACTACGTACTTAAAAAGTCTTGAACTCAAAACAGAAGACTTAAAACTGTTCCAATTAGTAAATGGTTCACCTGCCAGCAAATCTTTTCCTGTCCAGTTTCATAGACTTCAGACACTGGCATATTAAAGCCCTCAAAATACACGTTTACATGGTATTTTGAAAGCATTGTTTATATAAAAAGAACTTTTGGCTATAGCCATTTTTATTACTGAGGGCTACTAAACAAAAAGCTTTCATCGCTGGGTCACGAGCTATATATAAACTGTGAAAGGCCTGGGAGTACACTGGGTGAGGCAGCAGGTACCACCACCTGCTCGCTCTATTTTCCAGATATCTGATACTAACTTGAGAGATGGGATATGGGGTCTTGCTCAGTACTTAAGCTCTTATGAAAACCAAACCGTTCGATTCTTACGGACTACCACTCAGGAAGCATATAGATACATTCAGAGGATATTTAAGATGCTAAACTGTATCCAACCGATACCATTGCAAGACAAATGGTAGAAATGCCAAAAATAATTCTCAATGAGATACCTCATGCATCTCAGTGACTAGTTAAGTTACAGCCAAGGTCCTCATGAAGGGCAGTAAATACAGATTTTTGAATCCCCAAGAACTATTAAAATTACTTGCAGAAATAAATGAAATAAACTTGAACAGAAATATGAGTTGCTACCGTTCACAAGCTGTTTAAGGTACATGGGTGATTAAAAAGGAAACATTAAGAGGACATTAAAAAGTTTCCTTATATATTTGGTGGAACACAGAAAAATATTGAATAATTGCTAAATCATGTATCATTAACCAAGAATCCTGAAATCTGAAACTGGGTAACTTGCAGCTACAGCACTCCAAAAGGAATAGTTAAAAGCCAACAGAAAAACTTTTATCTGTTGCCCCTAATCCAGCTGCAATTACCTTTTTCTTTCATTTAGCCATTACTCTACCACCACCATTACCTGCTATTTGTACAGAGCCATCTTCACCCAGAAGAATGTTGCCAGCCTTCAAATCTCTAGAATGTACAAATAGAGGTTACTTTTATGTATGAAAGTACATATGTGCACATTTTATGTAAATAAATAAATATTGCATACTAATCAGTTTTGCAAGATAGCATTTTAAAATCTAAAAGACAGAAACAGGAACTGAAGTATAAAACGTAACTGATTTATAATAAAACAGAGCGCAGAACTCAAACTATCACAAACTCTCTCTCGTATAAAAAGACCTAATCCAGCTTTGCTATAAAACGAGCAGAATTCAGGGATAGATTTTGAGAACAGAAATATTTAGGTCCAAAGTTTGTTTTACCGTCTTTAATAAATATAATCTCACAAACTGAGAGCTTTCAGAGCTTTAAAGCAAGAATTAATGCTTTCTCACATCTAACTGCACAACTAATGAAAAAGAGAAGTTGAAGAAAAAGTTCTCCTCTTCGATCTCTTCAGAATAGAGACCCATCTTCAAGAAAGGTAAATATACTGTAGATTTCTACCCATTGAAGCTATTAAAGCTCAGGAATAGCAACCATATTTTGCTATAGGGCACTATGATGAAAAGTTACTTGACACTGAATCTGTCAAAAATTCAGCATGTGCTTAACAGTCAACTAGATCCATTTAACACACAATGTTAAGAAGAAACCTTTCTGGCTGTTTTTTTTTCTTTTTACTAGAAACGTGCATCCCATTCTTAATGCACAGGATAAATCTTTCACACAGAATATATCATAAACATTAAGAATTTGAGCAAATCAATCTTTCCAAGATTTACTGAAAATAATTAACACATTGCTACTGAAAGGTAACATAACCTGTTCCCTTATACATAAACAAGAATGCATTGAAATGACAGAACAAAATCCCTGAACAATTTTGGAAACATCACCAACTGGCAAATACCACTTGATACAGTGTTCTCTGAACTACCACAGCTTTCAACTACAATGTACATGGGAAAAGGAACGCACACTGTATCATCATCTTGAACAGGACTTCTGTGGTACTGCACAGTTTACAAATCAGATGTTATAAAAAAGGAGAAATTTCAGATGTAACAAATAGATCTCTCTCTTTTTATCTTTTTAAGGTCCTTTAAGAATAGACAAGGGGAATTCCCAAAGCTGACCTCAGAGGGTCCTGTTATCCTTAAAAGCTAATGAATGTTCCTTCTGCAACAACATCAGCTTAACAGAAGACTATGAACTAAAGTTTGTGGCAGATCTTTGGCATTCCAGAGCAGAAGTCAAGATAATTGTTCTTTATTTCTCCATTTATCTCAATTTTCTCTCCGCAAAAGGAGGAAATAGTTCTTGATTTACATCAGAGGCAGTTCATTTATAAGATGAGACATAAGAAGTACACATAAAGAACAATTACTGTGCTACATCTGCACTACCTCCATTCTCAGAGTTCTGTCTGCAGAGAATCTGTTTTTGTTTAAAAGATTCCCTTATAAAAAGCTAATGCTTGAAACAGACGGAGAGCCTGTTGTAGGCACCTTACTTAAAAGGCGAATTCACCTCAGGAAAATTAATTAGGGAGGTCAGAGTACAGCACTTCCAACATCCAAACAGTGGAAGTAACCTGTGGATTGCTACAGCAGATACGTATAGATCACCCCAGGGGATCTGCAAAATTTACACTGAGGAAGTCATGGAGAGAGAATATATAGAAGAGAACAATCACTAGATGCATTTACACCAAGATGCAGTTCCATAGTACCAATCCCAGCTTCACGTGTGGTCATAAAGAGAGGTCTGTAGAGTTGTAATAGACTACTGATTACTAGGAAAAAATAAATTTCACATTTATACAGCGGTGCCCGAGTGCCCAAGATTACAGGTTTACTGGGCAACACAATAACCAAGTCACAGACCATATAACATAAACTAGATTCAGATTAGATATTTGGACTACCAGCAGGCACAGGGGTATAGACCACCATTCTGGCATACTTAGTGCAGCACAGACCAATCCTAACTATGAGAGACACAGACAGGATAAAGACCAGGCAAGTACTAAGTACTAGCGACAAACTGCGGTCAAGATTACAGCATCTGCCTGAGCATTATCATTTGATAATTACTGCTCACATATACAGTATGTGAAAAAGGAAATACAATTTGCTTAGCCAAGCAACTGCAGCTGACTGGTATCAACAAACTATACACACAACTTTGGAAATGCTTTTCCCTGTGTATATGCTCCTACCTGTGAATTTGCCCATTCCTGTGTAGATAGTCTAAGCCCTCCAAAACTTCTTTAAGAATTGTTGCTATTATGGGTTCTTCAAGGACACCATTTTTGTGCTCTCCTCTGTTGACAATATACTTTATTATATCAAGCATTGAACCTACATTGCAGATCCAGGAAAGAAAAAAGCATATATACAGTATTATCATATAACTTTCTCAAGAATCTGATATTTCTTCATTCTTTCTATGCTACTGCAATTTAAATCTTTGCATGTACATGTAAAGACGTCATGTAACTAGCTCTCAGAATAAAGCACATTGCTACCTCATTCAAATGAGAAACAAAGCACTGTTTTTTGTCAAGAATACTGTAACACTCAATGATCCATTAGAAAGATCTGCTAACAGCTTATTAAGCTACCATTTATTAAAAATTCAGGAGTATCCCACATCTAAACAGATGTACAGCAAAGATTTTGGTTTATTATCCAGCTTAGATTATGGTTCATGTGTTCATGATGTAAACATGCAGCTGCAAGACTGGAAAGAGATATTCTCCACAAACAAATGATGACAACATCCCTAGTGACACCCAGTTTGACTTCAGTTATTATAAATTTCAAAGAATCCAATAGCAACATTTTCTTTTTATTCAAGCATTTTTCAACAGCTCACAGTAAATTCCTGTCATGAATCACTGGTTTCTCTCAGGGTCTATGCTTGCTTTTGATTGAACTGAACAATTCAGCCAAATGTGAAATAACAAGAGTTATTTTATAAGCACTTCCTGTCCTTGCTTTCCAGCTTACAGTAGTCTGCTGCCATCAAGACTAATCTTGAAGAACATCATGTAGCAACCAGGACCACCGCATCTTATTTTGGAGCCTTGCTTTTCTAAGCCACAAGCACATTCAGTTCAGCTCCTTTTTCCTCTCCCAGAACCAAATAAGATTTTTGTACCATTAACCATCATAAAAACTGTAATGAGTGTTTGGTTAGTTTAAGCAATAAAAAGCATGCAACATGTGTAATGCCTGTCCTAGGAAGAATCTTCCTTGAATAAGGAATGAGAAACACTCATTCTGAAATCAGAAATATATGTGTTTTTACAAAAATAGAGTGGATTCTAGAGAAACTCAAAAAGGCCGCACTGACAGAAGT